CTCTCTCTCTCTCTCTCCCTCACACTCTCTCTTTGTCTGTCTGCCTGTCTGTGTGTGTGTCGCTTAGGAATCTGGGCAGCAGCAACAACGGAAAGTGACAGGAAATAGCAATTGAGATGCCACAAAGATGTCCGGAAAACTCGGAAAATGGGCAAATGCAATAAATAGTTTCAACTCAAAATCTATTTGTGGCAACCGACAGTTGCCGCCGACTGCAAAACCAAAAACAGTTTTCCTCTCAAATACCCAACATAGAGAAGTTGAAGCAAGTCTTTAGAAAGGAGTTGATTATTTATGCATGTCCTAACACTACATCCAATTAGAATTAGGCTTTTCTACGAACCAACCCAGCTGCAATAGTTATGCAGGAAGGGATTTCCATTAGGATTTCCCGAACCGAGAAAACGAACAGCAACTGAGACTTGAAGCTCTGTAGAAACTCAATTGAGTTTTGGCTGAAGTTTCGAGCGGGAATCTGGAACTTCTTGAGAAAGCTTTGGTTCAGCCAAAACTGAATCACGCACATCTTTCACTTTGCATATCATTTAAAATTCGATCTCTTCTTGTGTAGATCTATTTTAATTAAATATCACTTGGTCCAAAAGAGGCTTCTAAGTCTATTGAACGTTACATTGAATGATACATTTCTATTGAGCGTATGTCTGAAAGATTCAAAAGAATGTGGATATTTATCTAAGTCAATACAGGCATCCGTCCGTTAGCCTTCAAAGCTCTCGACTTGAAATCTTGAGTAAACATTATCCTACACAATTTATTGGTCGATAACTCGCCTCATTTAGACATTATCGATAATCGAAAAGTGAGGTTAGCTCGATGATCACACGTTAGCAGCTTGACTTCTGTGATGAATGGATTAAGACAGTTTGAACATATTACAAACTCCAGCTTTCACTATTTCTGATACTATCTAAGTTATGCTTTAAGACTGGAGATTCTAGAACCGAAGAAGGAAGAGTCGCATTATTTGCCCGAATTACGTATATGGATATGCATGCAAATAGGAAAAATCTTAGCATGATGCTGCATGATGAGTGTCTACGAGTGCCACGCAGTCGACTAGAGTGTAATTGAATTTAATTTATCCTTCGGCTGCTATGCCCCACTCGGTTAGTTCTTGCGGTCCTGAAGGACAGCTGGCTGCATAAGAAAGCACTTAATGGCACAGCATCTGTTGACTATGTGGGCTGAGTTGGTTTTAATGTATGAAATGTGTTCATCTTAAATATCAACGTCAGTCAATTTTAATTTCAGGTTAAATTAAATGTGAAGTGCGCCCAAAAGTATGCAAAGCGATTTTTCATGCACATGCCAGAGGCGAGCTGGCGCTGCACTATGGGTCAAACGCCCGATTTTTTGGAAAAAAGTCTTATTTTCAAGTTGAAAAAATGTACAAAATTTTAATGCGAATCCATTAGGAATACSCTATATGTAAATGTTASATACTCAGAATTTTAACAGAGGCGCGATCTGCTAACAAAACTGCTGTTAAACCGAGCTGTTATGCATGACACGCACATTATCAGTTTTGTAAAAACTTTATATGAATTTCAATCGCCAATTGAAATAAAAATAATGGCAATTAGATCAAAATTTGTGGTGGAAAATATAGAATCGGGCTTGTTCTTTGTTTTTACGTGTTTGTATTGTCCAAAATCTTTATGTGATGTGAAGTTTTGANCGCAATTTCATTTTTCAGCAACTAACCTCGTCGCAGGTGAGGAAGAGGAAATAAGCCTGTTCGAAAGGCAGGACACTTCAAATTTTGAGGTTTATGGCATGCTAGCTTCAGATAATGAAGAATACGCTGATTAACAATAAAAGAGATATATTTTAATGTTATTTGTGCTTAAAATCATAAAATATAACCTTTTATTCCTTGAAAAAGATTTTTCTCAACTTCTACATATAAAAACTATATGATATAGTTAACCGATTTTGATAATTTTTTTACAGGGTCTTTGAAACATGAAAACACATCTAATATGTGAATTTGGTGYAAATTACTTAAAAAGCTAAAAAGTTGGGACATCTAATAATATGAAAGAGGGGCGATATCACGCCCATTTTTTCATCACAAATGCATGTGGCAAACAAAAGTCAAATGCAAAAAAAACAAATTGAACTATCTTTACTGATTCAAAAGTTATTAATTAATTCCAAAAAATCGGGCGTTTGACCCATAGTGCGCTGCCTGTCACGAGCAGAGCGCAGGGCGGAGCGGGGGGCGGGGCACTGATTGCCGCACATTATCCCCTAGCGACTACAACAGCAACATCAGCCAGGGCGAAGAAGAAGATGACGGAGAAGGACACTGCAAATGACAAGGCGCAAAAAAAGAAGAGAGCAAAAAAAAAAGGAAGGAAAACGAAAACAAGGACAGAAATGTCAGAACAGGAAGCAGCGACTGCAAATGGCGATTGGCAACTCGGGCAGCGTCTTCCGCTACGCCGATATATGTTATTTATGCGATACACACACACACACACACACAAACACGTGTTAGTGTGTGTGTGCATATGTAGGCATATATTTTGCAACAGGCAAGCAAGTACGAAAAAAATGAATAAATAAAACGCAAATATTTCAGGGCCCACAGGCAGTGAATACCCTGTAACTGAGAATGTGGATAGTTGGATGAACAGACAAAGTGGGCCATCTTCGGTAGAGCTCTGCATGCTATGCCAAGCCACCCCATCCAGTTCAGAGTGTGCAGGGCGAACATATCAAGGTTAACTTATAAATATGTAAAGGGTATTTAATTGCATGGGGTGTATATTGATATTGGTAATCAAGGTCTCCCAAGTAATGCAATTTGGTACACAGACTCTCGACGGTATTTATAATATGCATGCTCTATAAACATCCAATTTGACATTGAGACCTAGCGGAAAGCGTAAAAGGTAAATCAAATTATAGACATATTGGTTAAGCTGTTTATACGGGATTTCTTGACATTTAAGTGGGATCTATATAGAGTCAATAAAATGTTCTCTCTCTCTATATATATATCGCTGTCTATCTCTTTTCCTCTCTATCTTTATCTTTCTCTCTCTCTCTCTCTCTCTCTCTCTCTCTCTTTAAGCTGTTTGTCCATAACCGCATCTGTCTGTCTGCTTATCCCTCAGACTATCCGTCGAACTATCTATCTAACTATTCATCTATCTTATCCGATGACTATCAGCCGGAATATCCATCTAATTATCCGTCTGTCCGTTCGTTCGACCGTTTCTGTATTCTTACGCCTGCTCATTCGTCTTATCTTTGCTTTATCCGCCCTTCATCTTTCTTTCTTTTCTTACATTTGTCCACCTTTCTTCTACTTATCCGTTTATTTTTACGCCTATATAAACTCTGTGATCTCTGGAAGTATAAGAGCAGGATACTTGAATTTTCATATAGATTCGCTATATCAAATGGAATTACAATGTGAAGTGCATCCCGAAACTCAGGACTTAGCCCCATCAAATTTGGTATATAGACACTTCAGCCTATCGCTCCTTCAGCTTTTCTCTCACCTTCAGGGTATCGTCTAGTCGGTCCTGAGCGCCCGCTTCACTTTCAGATGTACCTTCGAGTACGTAGCTTCCCAGCGGGCACGAGCAGACACTAAAAATCAATAGGCCGCAGCAGCGATATACCTATATTTACCCACATATACTATATATACCCTTGCACACACATACAGATGTATGTATGTATGTGGCCGATGCAAGGACAGCCCTTGCTGTCTGCGGCACATGTGTTTTGTTTAAAAAGGATATGGATTGGTGATGAGCATCAGGCACCAGTTGCGCGGTCGCGTGTACTGTGTGAGCGCCTTCATGGCAATCTCCGGGAAGCCTGGGTAGGGCAGATTCGGCTCGCCCGACGAGCTGGACGAGGAGGAGGACGAGTGCGTCGAGTCGCCATCGTCGGAGCTGCAGCTGCCGTTGCAGCTGGACGCCGTCGAGGAGCTGCCGGCCGAGTCTCGGCCGGTGTCGCGCGTGCGACGCTGGACGGCGCCAGCTGTTGCCTCGCTCAGCGTCGAGGCGCCGCTGTGGCGGCGTGTGCCACGCCTACGCGCCGCCTCAGTGCGTTCCTTGCTGCCAGCGCGTCCAGCTGGCTGATAGCGATGCGATTGCTCCTGTTGCTTCTGCTGCTGTTGCTGCTGCTGCTGCTGTTGCTTTTGCATCGAGTCGGAGGCATTCGAATGCTGTCTGTGTGGGCGGCGCGTGTGCGGCGTGGGCGTGGCCTTGCCACTGGCACTGGCACTGCATGAGCTCGTCTTGCGCAGTCGCTGCTGCTGCCCGCTGCTACCGCTTGCGCTGGCGCTGCGTCGCAGCTTCTGCTGCTGCTGCTGGTTGCCGCCGTCGACGATCACCGACGTGGGCGGCTCCTCGTTGGAATGCATTGGCTGTGACTTTAGTTTGTTGTTGTTGCTTTTATTGTGAGTGCCGCAGCTGTCGCTAGCTGCCACGCGACGTCGCTGCCCATTGCCAGTTGCAGCTGTTGCAGCAATTGTTGCTGCTGCTGCTGCTGCTTCAGTTGTTGCTGTTGCTGTTGGCGTCGCTGCTGCTGCTGTTGTTGTTGGCTGTTGCAGCATCTTCCGACCACGTGTGTGTTCCAGCAGAAGCAGCTTGGGTCATTCCATGTTGACTAACTGCCTTTAATGAGAATCAGAAAGAGACGGCATGAGTGAGAGTGAAAGAGAGGGCAGAGGGAGTGCTTTTATTAATTTTATTATATTAACCATTCAGCAGCAACAGCAGCGATTGCTTCATCAAAGCCGCATAAAAAGCTGTTGCTGTTGCATACACAACATACACTTGACACACACACACACACGCACACACACACACACACACATGGCACACACTTCACTTGAAGCTACGTGCAAAGTTTGTGAATTGATTTTTAATGCGGAGTCTGCCGAAATATGCCAAACTCATATACACCCACACATGCACTCACACACACACACATACTCACACACACTCATACACACTCACATGCGCATACACACGCGCTCACACTCCTGGGCCTGGATCATAAAAGCAGTTGGCATAATGAAGCCCAAACATAATTTATATGCGTGTGGTGTGCGTACCTATGTGTGTGTGTGTGTGTGTGTGTGTGTGTTGGTGTGTGGGATGTGCGTAGCTCTAAAAATAATGAGCAGCATATTTGTTGCCCGCAACGCAAATTGTAGCATACTTTTCAGGGCAGGCGCTTGTTAGGCAAAAGTTTGACTGGGTGGGCGAGTGTCTGTGTGTGTGTGTGTGTGTGTGAGTGTGAGAGGAAGTGCGTGTGCGTATGCATGTGTGCCTGTGTGTATGTGCGCTCAATCATTAATTACGACCCGCACTTGTGTAAATGTGTGTGTGTGTGTGTGTGTGTGTATGTGCGCACGTGTGCGAAGCACCTAAGTATAACACATTAACTTGCCAAAAAAGTGCCACGTTGTGGTTTCTGATACACACAGAGGCAGACACTCACACACACACACACACACACACGCACACACTCAGACGCAGAGAAGCGTGTAGCAATTGTGTGAAAATTGGTTTATTGATAGGCCAGAGCAACAATGCGAATAGAGAAAGGCATTAAGCTACTTAAAATGACCTTCGCCTCTGCTAATTCGCCTGTCCGCAGCGCTAATTAAAAATTTATCGATAGACGATAAGCGATTCAGACTGAAATTGTAATTGCTGTTGCACAAATAATAACGATAACAATTTGCATAATAACAATTAACGCCTGCACAATTCTGAAAGCAAATTATAGCATTGGCACAGTTAATGAACAAACGATAACAACTGGCAATAGTACTGAAATGTTATCGAGCTGGCATAAATCAAATGGGCTGGGATAATAGGCCTATAACTAAACGCAATCAAATTAATTTTGAAAATATCATATAAATTGCCTAGACAATTAGTGAAAGTTCAACTCGATGTCATTGCTAAGCAGAGTTATCGAATACCGAGAAATGGAATTAGCGGCGCTTCGAAGCAAGTCTATATAATGTAGACTACGGATGCAAAACTATCGAAAGGGTGGTCATCGATTTTTGTTGACAGTCGATAGTGAAAACAATCGACAGTAAAACGATTGATGTTGAAAACTATCGATTGTGAAAACCGTCTATACTATAGATAGTACTATCGACTGTTTTGCATCCCTAATGTAGACTTAAATAAGTGTGTTGCTCCCTAGTAAATCTGCTCATATATGCTGTCGATAAATTGATATGTTGATAGCTGCATTCGATTTTTTAAAAACGATTACCAAGTGCACGATAATCAGATGCAGTCATGACGCAGATTTGTAATCGATAAATCGATAACAGACCATCCCACCCAATATAATAGACTAAAGACTTTAGCCAATTCTTATCAATACTTGCCTTCATCAACACAGATAGATAACAGATTGTTATCGATAAGTCTAAGCAATTGTCTATAAATGAATCATTAATTGTAAAAACATGAACTTCAAGATACAGCCAGGCATCCAACAGTCCCACCTCTTCCTCTCCAATTCTATCACAATTCTAATAATATTTACTATCGATGAATCGATAAGCTCTATGACATTATTAAGTAATGCATAATCGCTGCGGCGCGACCCAAAATAGTTCAAATATTTAACAAACGATTTATCAGTGCTAATGCAGGAAATTGTTTGTGTTTCCAGTTTTTGGATTAAACCGACGCGACGAGCCGGTCCAAAAGGGGAGCAGGCGGTGTGGCTGTGAGTATGGGCGTGGGTTTGGGCGTGGGCGTGGCAATGCGTGTTAGGGACATGCGGCGTTGACGGCGGCACGTGTCCTGCCACCAGCATAGACAAAAGGCAACGAAATCAACAATAATTAATCGTTCGCTGGCGCCATTTGTTTACAAACCGGAAACGGAAGTTGGCCCTAAGACAAGCGCAGCGCTGCCCAAGTTTGTTCGTGTGTGTATGTGTATGTGTATGTGTATGTGTGTGTTTGAATATGAATTTCAAATGTTAAACAAGCCAAAAAGGCCAGCAGAGCACACAAGTAGCTAACAGAGAGAGAGAGAGAGACAGAGGGAGACAATGAAAAAGGGAGAATGCGAGAGAAAGAGCAATACAATAACGAGAATAGCTATGTAAGCTCCTTGTATAATAACACAACGCACATATGTAAACACACACACATACACACACACACACATGTACAGTTATCCATAATTAAACACAAACAACGCGCAAAAGCAACTTGAGCAAATAAAAAGCTGCGTGGCTCACACACTTCGCGCTAAGTGAGAGCGTAGCAGCAGCAGAAGAAGAAGCACGACAAACACATATAGACCCACACACACACACATTAACATGCTTCTCTATGTATATGTATCGCAAATATAATGCGATTTGTGCCGCAAATCAAAATGTCAGATTTCCATGTCGAGATCTTTAAACTGGCCAACAAATATCGCATTTGATGTGGGTGCTGCTCAGAAGTCTTCTTCTTCTTATTCGCTTTTTTTAAGCTTGAATAGATGGCGCTTACTAGATATTCGCAACTTTTTCACTTTCCCCCTTTTCTCTAGTTTTTTTTTTCACATTTTTCTATGGCTTAAGTCAAGTGTGAAGGTTGGAATTTGTAAGCTGAAACAGGACAACAAAAATGCTTGTGAAAGGCAGCAAAAAACATATCTGACAGCAAAAGACATACACATATATGTATACACATATATATATTACTTGATCTGGTGCAATCTTGACTTGCCTCAATTGAGATCTGCCTGGAGGCATTCAAGACTTTTATACCTTCTCCTATGCCAAGCACAAGTCAACTTGTGTGAAATCGATAATTATCGAAATCAAATGTGAGTTAACTTGGCGTGATTCTTAAGCGCTCAAGTCGAAAGAAGGGCATAGGTATGAGTAACAAAGACAGGGATTCACATTTAAGATGTTAGCATATTGAATCTCAGTCAAACAGCTCCATTTGCTCCCTCTGCAAAAGCAGCTCAAGTGCGTCCAAAAAGAAGATGTTATGCAGTTTCAAATGAGTGGAAAGCCTAAAACATAGAGCTGACTGCAGGTTCAAGTTTAGTCTGGGATAGTGTAGTCGGATTAGTTGTTCAATAGATTTTCGTTTTTAGGATATTCCTAATACACTTCACCTGAATACTCCATTCCACTCCACTCTCCATGTAGTAACTCTTCGATTTCCATTCGCTTCTCGCTTGAATCTATCAGCGCTCCAAACTCAAAGCTCTTCAAAATTCTAATTCCCATAGTCCGCAATTAATGTTGGGCTAATCTATTTACATTTCAACAAATTCCACTCATAATCTATCACACACTCGCCCTATCGCTCTCCCTCTCTCCTACTTTCCCTCTCGCTCTGTGTCTATGTAATATGGCAGACATGTGTGTACTTAACTTTAAGCCCTCGTTTCAGTTGGAATAAAGAAATGGGAAAAGCTGGAAAAAACTTTGACTGTTTTGGCCCCCTCGATTTACTGTGTCTGTGTGTGTGTGTGTGTGTATTGGCCTAGTTCTGTTTGCTCTGGCATAAACAAGCGATTGACTTCTGTGGCACGTGCAAACATTAAATTGCTTATGTGAAAGCATATTTAAATTTGTAGCTGCTTTATAACTGATTATCCCCGGCTTTGTTGTTGCTTTAGTTTCTGTTATCCCAGCTCCCGCTCAAGCTCGCAAAATTATGCAAATAGGTGCCGTCCCTTTGTCCGTCCGTCCAACGTCTGTCTGTGTGTGTTTTGCCTTTTTGACAGCTACAAAAATATATGTATATAAATAAAAAAGAAACCTTCAGTCGCAAATAAATAAACAATGCGAATACGAATCTGAATCTGAATGTGAATGCGAATGTGAATGCGAATGTGAATGTGTGGCATAATTTACTTTTAAATGTAAAGTCGACTCGCTTGCTGTCATTGATATGAGCCTGCCATCTCCCAGCTTTCAGCTCACTCTCACTCACACACTCTCTCCCTCTCCATCTCTTTCTTTCACAAAAAATTACGCATACGCAGCGTTGTGCACGTTGGCAAATAAATCAAAGCGAGAACAACGACGACGACACCGCGGCGCCGAGATTCCCGTTTTTCTTGTTGCTCACAGTATTTTTTCCTTCGCCTTTTGTTGCTGCCTGCTCCTGCTGCTGCTGCTGCTGCTGCTGCTGGCTGGCTGGCATACTGAGATTTATGCTCGTTGTTGTTTATGAGCCCGGGAGCCTGGCAGTCTCCCTGCCCGACAGCAGCAGCATCAGCAGCAGCCACACATTAGCATAAGTCCACGCA